AGTCCTACATTCATTCAATCATGATGTTTGAGCGCCTAGTATAACCCATTTTTGGTGTTTATTGTTTATTAGTCTCTATGTCCATCACTTATAATCCAAAATCATCACTGATGATAGCAAATTCCAGTCATAATACTACTAATGTTAATATATTCTGATGGAAGAAACAGATAGTAAGTCACTGATAGTAATGCACTGTGATGACTGCTATGGCTTAATAGTATTCATTCAAGATAATTGTGTGTGGTGTGTGTGTGTGTGTGTGTGTGTGTGTGTGTGTGTGTGTACTCAAATATATGCATATATATTCATCTATATGTGTATATATTCTCATTTATACTCCCATAATTCAAAGTGTACATATTCCAACCTCTATCTGTGAAACTAGTCCACGATGCACTGGTTACCAGTTTGCCTTAGACTGGTGTTAGAGAACATATAGGTAGCAAGTTATATGAAGTGGATTTATTATTTGCACTTGAGGAAAAGCATAAGATATCTAGCATTCAGGACGAGCTGGTTGTTTAAGTTTCAGAAAAGCTTCCTGAGGCACAAAGAATCTTGAATGAACGTGCCTTACTTGCAGTCACAAATGCAGGACCCGGAAAGGCAACCCTATCTAGGTTATATACCTGGGGGGAAAAATGAGATGCTGGGCTAAAGCATTTAAGGACATCCTATTTCTAAAGGGAGAGGGAACAGAACTGGGGATGTTCCAAGTTACCCTCTTATCTCTGGAAGCTACATTCTCAGCACATTCCATGGTTATCCTTGAGAATTACAAGTAGTAAAGAGGAGAGAGCATAGTCTGTCCAGAGCCACCTGGGGAAGGCTTACCTTTTATATATACTTTCCATACTCCATAAAGGTTGAGTATTTATTATTTATGGAGTATTCATTTTTAATAAATTTATTACTCCATAAATAATTGTCTTTATTTTATTGTAAGAAAATAAGTTTCTCAGTGAGATCTTGAGCATAGTCCTCATAATGTTCATATTCTTAGACACCTCAGAGCAAGATCTCTGAAAAGCAAGATGCAGGCCTAGACATACATCTTATTGCATAGAATAATAACAAGAGAGAAAGAATCCAAAAACTCTAGGAGAGATGGAGAAAGTGAACATGAATTTCTAGTTGAGACCAGCACACTTGTATTAGTATTAGCATGGGTGTTAAATCTATAAGGTTCAGATTTCTCTCCTTTCAACTTGGTAGATTTCCATTTCTGGTACTATATAGTCACACATATATAGTATACATATATATGAAATGTTTGTAACTAAAAAATAAGGATCTATGAGAAATAATTATTTAAATTCTTCTTAATTTCTGTTTCTCACCATAAACTTCTCTTTCCCTTCAATTCAAATATCTTTCATACCCAGAATTTTCTGTTGGTGGAGACCCTACTGAAATCTAGGACTTTGATTGAATCTTAAAAACCATAGGTCATCACAATGAAATGAATACCATAATAATTGAGCCTGCTTACATTTATCACATTTACTTTAGTAAATACAAATGAGGTGCACCATTTCTAACAAAATTTCTTCCAAAATATTTGGAAGTCATTTGTACATGTTAAAGACTGACTTTGGAAAAGCAAGCCTGATTCAAGGAAAACTCTAATATGTTAAATAATGTAATTGATTCCGGAAGAAGAAATATATTTAAGTCATTATGTTTTATCACAAAATCTATATTGCTGTAGAAAGTACTGTGTTTTGTGGTAATTTTACTTTTTTTCTGGTATTTACTCCAAATTAATATCATCCTCACTGCTTAAGGTGTGGTAAATTCATTTAGTAGTTCTTCATCTTATTAGGCTTGGCCAATGATAGATATTAAAATAGGAAAGAAATATACAACTACTATGTATTCATTAAAAAATTAAAAAGTAAAGACAGAGACAATGTAAACTTGCAGTATTTTGGTTTTTGTTGTTGTTTTTCTTTGTTTGTTTTGAGTCAGTGTCTCACTCCATCACCCAGGCTGAAGTGCGGTGGCAAAACCATAGCTCACTACAGTCTTTACCTCCTGGGGGTTAGATGATCCTTTTGCCTCGGCCTTTCAAATAGCTGGGTCTCTGGGTGCATGCCACCACACTTGGCTAAGTTTTGAATTTTTGTGGAGATGAGATCTCTCTGTGTTACCTAGTCTGGTCTTGAACTCCTGGGCTCAAGCAATCCTCCTGCTTCAATCTCCCAAAGTTCTGGGATTACAGGCTTGAGACACTATGGCTGGCCTGCAGTAGTTATTTTGAAACATGATATATAGTCAAATAACAGCACATCTTTAAGTATTCTAATAGGTATGTTAAGAGTTGGGTTATTTGCAATGTAATAAGATAAAATCTACTAAATCAAGTCTTTTCTCAAAACTTTGTTTGCAAGTCTATAGATTCCCTTTAGAAAAGAAAAAAAAACCCAAAAGAGTCGGCAAAGCTTTGCATGATGTTAATTAGTTAATTACATACATAAGACTTGAGGAATATGTGATGTGGGACAAAACAATTTTAATTACCTCAATTATCTTTTTTTTTTTTTTTTTTTTTTTTTTTTTTTGAGTTGGAGTCTCACTCTGTCGCCCAGACTGGAGTGCAGTGGCCGTTCCCGGCCACCGCAGCCTCCACCTGCTGGGCTCCGGCCATCCTTCCTCCTCAGCCTTCCGAGTAGCCGGAATTACAGGCGCGCGCTACCACGTCCGGCTAATTTTTTTGATTTTATTGTAGAGATGAGGTGTCACCTGCCCAGGCGGGTCTCGAATCCGCGGGCTTGGGCAATCCACTCACCTCAGCCTCCCAAAGACGCGGGATTACATGCTGAGCCACCGAGCCCGGCTAGTTACCTCAATTATCTTTTTCATACTGCCTCAATATGACCACAAGAGTGATGAAGTTCTGATGAAATACATACATATTATTATATAGCTTCCTGAGTTAAACCAAGTTGGTACTCTGTTCATGTTATGGTTAGAGGATGGTCTTCTCAAAATAGTGAAGCAAATTTGTGTGACATATTTGAAGAAAAAAATAACAGGAATGAGTGTTGAATTCAAATTTTAGGTGCATTGTTTGTGTACTGTGTGACAGTGTTGGTAAGAATTAATTTTGTTTCCCAAAAATGCTGTCTTTGGTTATTTAATTTATCTCTCATAATAAAAAAAATTCAGATTCCTGTTTCAATGTCTGGTATACAGTAGGTGCTTCTTAAGTGTTGGTGGCTCTTCCCAATGTATGTATTTTTAAATTTTTATCTTATAACTCATTCCTTAAATTCTTCTGAATGCATGCCAGCATTCATCATTGCAATGTAGTAAGGAGTTTTAAAAATATCATTTTTATATGTGTCAAATTTTCAAGGTTTTTATACTTTTAAGAGCTATTAATAGTAAGAGCTCTCATAGTGAATGATACATATTACTTTATTAACACAGTTCAATACAATATCCTTGCAATGATATAAACCAATCAATTATATTACTTAGGAATCACTTTTTAAAGGTAATTCATTTAAATGTTATTAGTAAATTTATCCAGACAACTAGAATAGACATTTTTACAATTGAAAATAATTCCATACTATTTCTTCTGAAAATGTATCTTTGAGTATGTATTCCTGAAATCTTGAAAGAGATTCTCTTCTAAAGTACTGTCTAGCAGATTGAGTGACTGCTTTAGGGAGATCATACTTATGCTAATTCGCATTAATTAATAAAATAAATTTGATATCTGTGGCAGTGATCCAGAGCACTAATTCCAAAATCCCACATCTCTGTATTGAGGGCTTTATCAAGAATGACAAATATTTAAAGTGTATTTACCTCTTTATTCAACATTTAAATCCAAAATAAATTTGCTCAAACACTTTATTAAAATTTGCATTAATTCCTCAACATTTTCCATGTATTTCCATAATTTTTCAACATTTTTCATGCATATTTCAATTGCATGTGAAACATGAAATATGACATACTGGTATGTGCAATGTTATAATATAGATTAAGTAGTTTCAAGATATAGAGTTCTCATTTGAAGTTATTTAGATATGAGTGTGGGTTTTTTTTAAAAAAATTAACTCAAGAAACAAAATTAACTGGACCATCTCTGTCAGCTTGACAAAAAACTTGGTGAGAGATTTTAAAAACTTATTTTATTTTTAGTCAACCCTGAAATCAAGGCACTTACTTTTGACAATTCTATCTTAAAATAAGTTTTCAGTCAGAAAAATTTAAAACTCAAAAACAGTTTTGCACTTTATGTGCTCTGAAAATTGTTTATAACTGTACAATTCAATTAATTTTAAACATGTTGAACACCATCTTATGTATTTATTTTCCTTAAAATTTTGTTGTGTTTAGTTTTGATATTTTCCTTACTAACTTAGATTAAATATTATACTATATATCATGTTAAATATTATACTATATATCATGTTAGAGAGAGAAATTTAAATATCTTACAATTTTTTCCCAAATAATATCATCTCCATTTCTTTGAGAATTATTTTCCTTATTAAGGCTTCCATTTTTAGGGGTCTCTGTATCCATGAAAATCTAAAGGTATCATGTGTACTGTGGATAGGGTTAGAGGTGGAGTAAGTGTAATAATACTGTTTTCTACCTTAAAACGCCTCTTTTCCATAAACACACACGCACATGCACATACACACACTGGTAAATATAACTGGTGTCTATCTGCATAGGTTGAAAATGTTGACATTGTATCGTTAAGAAAAAAAATTTCCATTCATAAAGCTTTCATTCCACTTACATGAACTTAATACACATGTTCTTAATTATGCTTGGATTGTTTATGAAAATTTAATAAAACATTAAACAAAGCTAGACATCATCTCAAGTTATTTCCCTGTTAACTATTTTTACAGCACACGCACGTTAGACAAGGATGAAAAAGAATCACAAAAGCAAAAGACCCCCCAAAAGTTAAATGCATGGATTTTTGTTGATTGCTGTGCTTGATATACATGAAGTAATTTTACATTTGTTCTTAGGTTGCCTAAAACATTTAAATACAAATAAAAATGAGTGTAGCAAAAATAATGAAAGCAAACAGCAGGTAACTTTACAAATAAGGAAATGTGAACCATTTCTGCCTTTATTCAGAGTAAATTGGGCCACAACTTTTGTCTAATGGTCCACTCCTGCTGCTGTAGTCAAAGATGTGCACATGGAGACTTAGTATTCCACAGACACACGTGGTTTAATATGTGGTATCCACAAGACATCGGTTTCCACCACAGCCTTTAAGTGCTCCAAACCTTCAAGTACCCACAATTATTACACCTGTGACCAGAACCAATTATTCCTTTTATTCCCCACCAGGAAAAAACAATATGTAGGCAGTTTTCTTTGCTAAGACATGGAAGTAGCTTTAACACTGGCCCTTGTGAAGCTACAATGTACCAAAAGTACTATGCCAAATATTTATAACCTGTATAAAAATTCCACATTCCCAAATTGGCCACCTCAAGGTGAAAATATAACTCGCTAAATATTAACTGACTCTATTACCCTAATATTAAACATAAAAATCACATGGGAAATATAGAAATTCAAATGGAGGTAACATAAACTTGCCATAAATCATAAACAAAAAACTATTTGTGGGACAACATGGATGACAAATTGTCTACTGTGTAAATTTTAGAATGAGACCAACAAAAGTTGGAAGGTGGGTTAATTCTCCGCTCCGTCTCCCGCTTCAGCTTCATCTCCTTGGGTATCCGATGTCCACAATGCCAAGTTGTCCTTCAGTAATTGCATTATTAAAAGTGTTGTCTTTGTATGACTTCACTTAATGTGTCAAGTCCAGCAATGGTTTCATTGAAAGTTGTCTTTGCAAGAGAGTAGGCTTTCTCTGGGGAGTTCAGAAGTTAAGGGCCAGACCCAATCTGATAGGATGTGTTGGCTGCATTTCCTTTTTGCTGATTTCAAAAACTTCTTGGTATGCTTGTGACTGCTCCGCAATCCCTTTCTTGTCGTCACCAGATGCAATCTCGGCCAAGCAACAGTAGTCGTCTTCTTTCATTTTCAAGTAGAAGACTTTGCTCTCTGCTTGGGAAGCACTGGGGATCAAGAACTTTTCCAAAAGAGACAGCACATCATTGCAGATATCTCTCAGCTCGGTCTCAATTTTTTCTCTGTATTCTTGAGCCATTGGCTGTTTTTTCTCAGCACCTTCCGTCTTTTGCTCAATTCTTGAGACAACCCTCCGAGATGACCTACGGGCTCCTACCACATCTTTATAGGCAACCGAGAGCAGATTCCTTTCCTCATGGGGCAATTCAGCTCCTTGCTCTGTTATGGACTTCACGCAGGCTGCCAAGTCATCGTATCGCTCAGCCTGCTCCGCCAGTTTGGCCTTCTGAACCAGTTCATTTTTATCCATGACTGGATATTTTGTGTCTGGAGAGGGTGGTAGCAGACGGACCCGGGCTCGGCAGTCTCTGGGCGGCAGTGGAGGCAGCGGCGAGGCTGAGACCAGAGAATATTCAAAAACTCTTCTGTCCTCTGAGTCCATATCTTAACTATATTTAACTTTGAAGTAATAGTAGGAAAATTTAGTATTCTGTGTCTGAAAGAAAAAAGGTCTTTGACAGTTTTGATCAATAGTTCCCATACTGGAAATGTGATAATGGTATCACTAGTAGAAATAAGAAAAGGATTTGGAGATAAGGTAACTGGTTGTAGATGTGGTGTAGTGGCAATAGCCCTGCTTTAGGAAGCTGAAAATTTATTTTATTCCCATTTTTGTGCAGACTGGTTTTTTGACATTGACCATGTCACTTCTCTGTTCTGTCTCAGTGTCCTCATGGAAAATGAAGAGTATTAAACTATATCTGTATTGATCTCCAAAAATTTATATCAATGATTTATGATTGGTCAGTAATTATACTTAATAGGCACATGGGTGCATTGTTTTCCATTTGCCTCCAACCACTTATTACCTATGAGTCAGTTGCATTGGCATGACTAGATTCTGAAGGATAATCAATAATAAGTGGAAATTGCTAATGAATCTACCATAAAGTCCATTAGGTATTTTGCTGACACAACAATTCTAAAGTAACATAATTAATAACATTATTTAATATCAGGAAATGTGATGAAGAAAGCAGTATCCATCCTTAACAACCATCTTAAATTGGGCAGCTCCCATTTCGTATACGTATCTATAAAGATCATCAAGGAAGTATAAAAAAATGGAAGCATCTTGTCATCCTGTTTTCTTTTCTGATCTCAGATAAAAATCCAGGATTAGAGCATTGGTGAACTTAATGGGAAGTAGCTTTGTGACTGAAAGATTTTCTTCCTACTCAGCACTTTCATTTTGTACAATGTTAGTGTTTAGTATATCATTTTTTGTTTGTTTCTTAGTTGTGGAGTACATGTGAGAATTTACTACATAAGTAAATTGCATGCAGGGGGGGTTTGAACTTCTTGAGATAGTGGTCTTGTTACCCAGTTAATGGTTGTGTGCACCTTATTTCTCTGTACATCTTTTCTTGATGAATGGTGAGACAGAAATTATGAACTTCGTACCCAGTACCCAGTCTTCCTTTCATCTACATCAAATTTACCTATATTTTATTTAGAAGAACAAGGTCCTTTACTAAAAGATCCACAAGTTTTCTTGCAGCTATGGTTGATCATGTGACCTAATTCTAGCCAGGGGAGTATACAAGGGAGTCGTGAGGTAGGGGTTAAGAAAAGCTATTTAAAGGAATATAGCTCATAAAGCGTTTTGCTTTGTACAGGTTTGTTTCCTTTGAGCTGTAACATAATGATACACCCCACAAGGTCAAAAGTTTTGGTCTCAGTATCTAATCTTAATCTTATTAAGCCACTGAAATAAAACAACAACTGCCTAACTCTAAAACTTCTATTATTTAAAAAACGAAATAAATTTCTATTTAATTAAGCCAATGAAAACTGGTTTTTTTTTTACATCATGCAGAACCCATTTACTAAATGATGGCTACATGGATAGTTGATAGATGTATTTGATGAAGAAATAGAAGAGTATAATATCTAACTAATTTTGGAGATACAGGAAGTTATATATTTTATCCTAGATTTTGGATATATTGCAAATGTTTTATAGACACAAAAACTCTTGAATCCAGGAGAAAGAATAAGACAAGAATTAATCATGTCATTCTGTAGCATAAAATTATGTGTTTCAAAAGTTCCATTCTTCTATGAAATATAAAGTATTCAGAAAGTATTACAATAGCGAGGAAATAAGGACAAATTGCAATTCATCAGAATTCTGTTTCTCTTGCCACAGTTGGGATTAGAACACAAAGAACATGATCAATAACAGCAAATTCTGCCAAATTAGAATATAGACTTCTAATGTAATTAGCACTCAATAAATGTGGCAAACATTCACAGCATTGTGGTTAGAACTTTATAGAATAAACAATAAAAGAGGAACCCTTTTTCACATCTATTCAATAAATCTTATTCAAATACTTCTAATTTGCTTGGTAAGGGCCTTAATAAATGAGTAAATATACTTATTTCCAAACTTCTTCTATAGTCATATTTTAAAAAATATGTCAGGATAGTATAATCACTGTAGGATTTCTTTTCTTATATTATAGGAGTACTAAGGCAGATACTCCAAAATCTGGAATTCAGTCCTACCTGTTCAACAGCTAGGTAGTTCATCTGAGTCCAGGTGCTTATGCTTTCTTAACTTTATTTTTTTATATTCAAAAAGAAAATAATAATCATACCAAATTCATAAGATTGCTTTATGGTTAAGCATTTTCATATGGGTATCTTTTTCTGACATAACGTGACAAATGCATATATAGAATAGTGAGGAAGAGCAAAGAGAGTTAATGTCTATTAAGTACTACTAAGAACCCACTCTAAACACATTATTAATGCCATTCTGGACACCTAAGAAAATACCATCTTGTTACCCTTCAGATATCTAGAACTCTAATTTAATAATATTGAAAAGGGAGACATCAAAGGATTCCTACAGGAAAAATTATAAAAGCTTACTCTTTTATATTAAGATCGACAACTTGTCTTTTTTCATATTATTTTAATGGTCTCACAACATTAGGGTGAGTTTTTAAAATATTTAACTAAATTCATTTCTTAACTAGTGGATTTGATTGCTGATGTTTAGAGTATAAAGTGATTTCTTTTATTTTTCTTTTTTCTTTTCTCCTCTCGTTTGCACCTGTTTCTTTCTTCTTTTAAGATGTGATTTGAAGTATACACTTATCATCCAGTCTGCACAATAATAATTAAAATTGTAAGCATTTACAACTACAAAAGTTTTAGGTATATAAATTCAGTATGTGGTATAGTGTACAAGACATACATTTTGTGCTTTTAAAAAGTCAATGTCATGATAAACAAACAAGAAAAAAGAACAAGTGTTCTTATACATTAAAATAAAAGAAAGAGGCAGAGACACAACAACAACAACAAAATGCAATATGTATGCAATGTGTGATCTTGACATTAAATGATGGTGGAATAAAATATTTCCTGTCATCACTTGCCTCTCAAAAATATAATGAGAAACTAATCAAAGACAAGAACACCACCGTAAATCTACCAGAATTCTCGGGAAAATGTGGAGAACCCCCCTGGGCTTACAGAGCCAAGACAAATCATGAATGATGAGAAAAACAGTTATTTTAGACTGTGTCATTCCCTCCCCTAAGACAGCCTAATGCTGCTCACATAGATCCAGAATTTCCAAGGAGAGAAAATTGGAGGTGGCCTTTCAGTTTTCCCATTGGTCTGGGAGTATTTGTGGGCAGCTCACTTGAGTCTCATGCTAAGAGAACCACTGGGAGTTCCAGGAGGGCTTAAATACCTGGGATAAATTGGGAGTAAAAGATCGGTATGCTGACCACAGTGACTAGAATATAGATCTTGGCATTCCAGCATGGAGTGGACGTTGAATCAACTGACTGGTACCATAGTGCTGCAAGGTGCACAATCAACAGGAAGAACCAAATTCCTACCAGTTTTTTCACAAAGTCCAGGTGCTCACTTGGAGTCTTCCCTAGAATAGAAACAGCTAAAAGGTCAGGATTAAGTTTAGGTGCCTGATTTTCTCCAAACTGGAAAACAATGACAGAGTAGTAATATAGGTCCAGGGAAATATTTAAGTTCTGGTGCCCACTGTAAGCTCTCCTCAGAACAGCAAACAAGGCAGGGTAACAAATAGCAGTGTTTACGTTCCAGGGTTCATAATAAGTCTTCCCTAGACTGGGAAGTAATGGGAGGTCAAAAAGTTAATTCCAGTACAGTGTTTTAGCTCTCGTGGTCATTATAAGTTCTTCCCAGAATAAGAAGCAACAACAAATCAACTTTTAAGTTCTGATACCAGTTGAAAAAGATATAACAAAACCTGAATACCTGCAAAAACTAGAAAAGATGACTATCTCCTCAAATGCACAGGAATCAGTATAGACAGAAGAATTGTGAAGATTCTAAAATATATGACAGCACCAAAAGAAAATAACAAAGCTCCAGCAATGGACCTATGGATTTTCACATCTATAAAATGTCTGACAGAAAATTTAGAATAATATTTCTAAAGAAGTTCAGAGTATCACAAGAAAATATGGACTTTTTTTTTAATTTGGAAAAAAATCCAAAAATAAAATAAAAAATTTGACAAAGAAATAGAAACAGATAAAAGCCAAACAACAACAAAAAATATAAATTCTAGAAATAAAAAAGACAATGATTGAAATGAAAAACTTGTAAGAAAGATTTGTTAATCAAACAGAGGAAAGAATTAGCAAGTTTGAAGACAGAACACATGGAGTTACCCAATCAAAGGAGTGAAAGGAAAAAAGGATTAAATAAGTAAGGCATGCCTGTGAGAATCATGAAACACCATAAAGCAAACTAACCTTAATATAATAGTAACTCCCAAAGGAGACAAAAAAGAAAATGGCCTAGAAAGCATATTTAGGGGAAAAATGGCTGAAAAATTCCCAAATCTGGAGAAACATAAAGTTCAGAAATCACCAGTCAAATTCAACCCAAAGAGGAATTTCCCAAGGCACATCATAATCAAATTAGCAGACATTAAAGATGAATTCTCAAAGCAGTAAGGGACAAGAAACATCACATTAAAGAAAACAGATACCAGCTCTACTCAAACTATTCCCAGAAGTTGAAAAGAAGGGAATATTTCCAGACTCACTTTCCAAAGCTAGTGCTACCCTGAATATAAAAACTAGAAAAGGACACAACAATAACAGAAAAGAAAACTGTAGGCCAATATCTCTGACAAGCATACATGCAAAAATGCACGGCAAATTACTAGCAAATGAAATTAAACAACATATTTAAAAAGTTATTCATCATGTCAAGTGGGATTCATCTCAAAAATGAAAAAATTATTCAACATACATAAATCAATAAACATGATATTTCATATTAACAGAATCAAGACATGATCATTTCAATGGAGGCTGA